TTTCCTTTATTTCTCTTTATCAAATGCCAAATAGTATATAAAAAGATGAGAGAATACGAAGAACTTATTATGGTGGGGTATGAGGAGAAAAAGTAATATTATTTAGTAATATGAGATAAGATCTACACATTAAGTGGCTAATCAAAAACATAAGATGATGAATGTGGTCCTCATGACAAAGTTGTGGTAGTAGAGTGTGCGAAGGGGGGTTTATACTAGAAGGATTATGGAGAAAGATGGATGTCACAATATCGGAATAATCCGTTTTTAAATTAGTGTAACAGTATTACACGAGCCCAAGATCCACAATTAAAGGGATAGAAGAAGAACAATCAAGATGAGGTGAAAGAAAAACTCACTCAAAGATGAAAAATGAGGTACGCAAAAGTATTACAAACTTGATGCTTGTGACTCAATTTTCTCACCACACATCCCTCTTTAAATAGATGTTCTTGCAATCATATTTACTACAATAACTATCCACTTACTACAATTACTACTAACCACCTAGTAAATCCATAATTTCCTATTGCACAAACTTATAATTACAACCTCACTAAATCAAACAAAATAAAAGAAAAGAAAATAAAAACTAATATGATTTCTAAAAAAATACACTTTAACAATTTTAACACTCCCCTCAAAGTGATTTTCTAAAAAAGAGGCCATGCATAATTCTTAAATGTGATGCGGACATCGAATCTAAAAAATGGAGAAATTTTTAATAAATTAGTTTAACCTGCATTCATATAGACACGTAAATGAGCACAATAGGGGAAGTAGGCATAAAATGTTGGGTTTATGTGGCCTTTAATGGCCTTATGAGTGTTTGTAAAAATGAAATGATATAGTAAACTCAATGGGAGTATGGTCCCTCGTGGACCATACTAAGCAAACGATGTTTGCTGATACCAGACTGTGCTTGACGATCTAGGCCAGTCGGTTGGGAAAAACCCATGTTACCTGGTTATAAAAAGTAAACCGAGAAGGGTTCTAATGGGTTAGCCCTTGATAAGGTCGAAGAAATGCTCGGATGAGTGAGCCGATGGACTGTGTGACCCTTGTGGGTGATGGTGACCTATAGAGATAGTGGCCAAAGCCTCATCCATGTGCCATCACACGGCATGCATATCGATAGATCGTTTGGGAAAGCCATAAATCTTCCTTTTAGGGTGAAGCGTATGCATATGCGATAGATACCCCTATGCATCATAGGAGCTGTGGTCGCATCAGGTCTTGGTGACATTGACTCATCTCTAGGGAAGGACCTGAGATCCACTGACTGAGATTACGACCCTTTGGCTCATCGGTCAGCCTTTAATTATCCACTAATGAGCTCCTGCTTAGACTGTGGGTCATGAGAAACACTTGGTCGGTCTGACAAAGCAAGTGTGGTCTGTAGTTTACAATTGAAGGTGGGGTGCCCCATGATTGTTGATTCCTAAACCATATAGATCATTTTCTCATCAAATTAATTTAATTGTATTTGTTTAATGGTGAAAATTATTTTAGAATTATAATTTGAATTTTTACGAACCCCTGGATATTTTATTTATAATTTTTTGATTTATAAAATTAAAAATATTGATTTTACAATGGTTTAAATATTCAAATAATATTCTAAAATCTTTTTATTAATTTTAAATATATAAAATTATCATGGGGACCCATTGTGCACATGGGCCCAATATATTTTTAGAAGGTGGGGCCCATGAGTGCCTCCCTTGGGTGGCACGCCCCACCCTTATTCTCTTTCCTATTTTTTAGTGATATGGCATGTGGCCATATGGTTGGAAGATATTGACTTAATATATCTTTGAAAGATTTTGTGGAAAGATTGAGTAGACTTGTGTTATTTTATGGTATGCATAATATTTTGATTAGATTTAATTTATTTAATTTATATTGATGGGAAAATGGTTTAAAAAATGAAGATAATGGTTCATGCACCTTCCATAATGTTGATGGTATATCTATAGAATGGATGGCTCAAATCTCTCATCCCACAAGTCATTCAAGATCAATGGTTCATATTCAATATCACATGAAGAGGCAAGCCAAGGAAAACCCTAATCTTATTCAAAGCTTATAAAAAGAGATTGGCTCTACTAAAAAATCTCTACACCTTATCTCTTGTACCTAATTCCCATCTTTCTCTCTCATATTCTACAAAGGGGCATGCCCCACTTAGAATTTCTCTCTCTTAAGAAAAGTTTATCTCTCTCATGAAAGCCAAAGGGGGCATGCACCACTCTCTCATCTTTGATCTCTCTCTCCCACATTGTGAAGGAACCTAAGGGTTTAGGTTAAGGAATTATTCTCTCTCTTATCTATTAACTATGGATTTATGGTTAGGGGTTTTAGGGTTTAGCAAAAAGATAATCTATCTCTCTCACACTAGGTTGTTGAGAGAATTCACCTAGGGTTTGATTTTATGATCAAAGGGGTTCCTGTTCTATTAGTGTAACTTAGCCTAAACTTGCTTTCCCTATTGCGATTGAAGGTTGATCATTGATCCCGCGTCATCGGATGGTGGTGACTAGGTGTGGGGTGTAATAAGCTCGGTTGAGGTAATCTCCGACACTTTTCATTTTTTTTCTTGCAATCTTATCTTTTATTCTCAAGCTTAGTGCATAATTGTTTCAATGATATCAAGTTGTTAAGATCTTGGTTTTATTGTTATGTTAATTTTATTTTGAAATTTATATTATTATAATAAAAATCACTTGTAAGTTATCTTTTGCCAAAAGAAAAGGGTGAAGAAAAAAAAAAATTGTATTTCCCGATAAAAGATCACATAAGTCTTTCTTTCATAAAACACAATATTTTTTGAAATCCAGGATATGAAATGTTTCTCTTTCTAGCTTGGTACTTTTTCATTGAGTGGTTGAAAGGAGAAGAATATACAATATTTCTACAAAGAAAAGGGGAAACAAAGTAGAAACAAAAAATGTGTTATCATGTTCCTGCTCCCTACCGTCCCTGCTGGACCCACAGAGGGCTAGGCCTAGGCCCACTGGAGGACCATAGGGCGTGGGGTCACGACCACAGTTATTGAGCACACTCCAACCCAAGTGGCACTCGCAATCTCTAGTCGTGACCCCACACCCGATGGTTATCTGGCGGGCTCGGGCCTAGCCCTTTGTGGGATCGACAGGGACGATAGGGAGTGAGGTCATGGCACGTTATCATATATAAGAAAAATTACAAAGATTTACAGGAGAAGAATGTCCAATAGAAATGCCTAAACAAACACCGGCCAGCAGAGGTAAAAGCACAAAAATAAATCATGTTTTATTGACCCATTTGATTCAATGGAAACCCCCCAAAACCACCAACAACAACATCAAAATCCAAACACGCATAAATTTTTCATTCCATCTACACAAAAAGCAGAAAATGGGCCAAAAAATTAAGGAAATCTTTTTCATTCCTAATTATACAAGATTAATCAAGAGAAAGGATGAAAGAAGGCTTCCAACTCTACAAAAAAAGGGGCCTACTATGGAGCCCAAAATGAAAGCTCGGTGACCTCTGCAACAATGGCGATTGGTTGTGATTATAAGGCAGAAGGGAGAGCAGAAGCTCAGTGACCTCTGCAACAATGGCGGTCTAAAGGATAGGGAAGAGAGAGAGAGAGAGTTGGGTATAAGAAGAAAGGGTGCGGTTTGTATAGAGCCTAGGATCCAAACAATAAAATTAGAGCCTACTATTAAATAGTATTGAGAAATATGGTTTCAAGACTCGAAATCTTTATGATAGCTTTAAAATATATTTTTATTTTTATTTATAAAGTTTAAAGCTTCTAAAATAGCGTAGATCAATTGATAAAAACTTCAAAATCTTGAAATTTGACGATCCAAAAACGCGTTACAAAATACACTATTTCCAAAACTTGAAATCCATTTTTTTCTCGTGTCCATGCATCTTGATGTCGAGATGATCAATTTGAGGATACTTGAGCATCAAAACAACCTCTTCAAGTGAAACTTTTGAGGTAGGCTCTAATTTGATTGGTTAGAGCCTGAGCTCTATATAAATCTTTCCCAAAGAGAAAATAGGAAAATGAGGGCAAAAGATGGGGCAAATTTTGTTTTGATAAAATAACATTTTCTTCAAGTCATGCATTTGGATTGAATAAAGCAAATCACAGATACTGCTATATGTAGATGGCGTCACATAAAAAGCCTTTCTTAAAGTATCTTGTTTAGACCATTTATCACAATTACTTACAATCATCTTATATGAAATCTAATGTTATACTATTCATAAAGTTCGAGAAACTTTTTTAAAGTTTGAACTCAGTCAATAAAATAAATACAGTCATCTAATTTCACATTTAATAGTGAAGTTAATTGTAACTGTGTTGTACCAAAGATACATAGTCTCTTTATATGCTTTTTTTAAAAAATATACCTTGAGATGAGAGATTGTTTTTCGTGCCCCAAAAATACCTTGAGATAAGAGATTTTATTTTTGGTGTCAATCCGCTTACCTACACCCAAATTGAAAAAGGGAAGATTGCTACTGACACATAATTATTTGAAGTCTCTAATTATGTGCGAGGTATTTGTCGTCTGATTTTTATTGAGTCCTCTGGAACATACACTTCAGGTAGAAACTTGAAGAAAAGATCATTATTTCGTCAGATTTTGTCTCCATGAAAAGTGGCAAAATTAGGAAAAATTCGGGAAAGCTCTTTCCCATATGCTACACTATCGCTTTCCTAAAATGTAGACATGGGAAAGCGGTAATCTAATTGGAAAGTATTATATTCCTACTAAATAATTCTGCCCTTACAAATAAGAATTTCTAGCGTTGTCTTTCATGTTCGAGGTAAGAACTAAATTCAGAAACATCACGTTCAATGTAAAACTAAGATCTCTAATGCGCCTGGAGTATTCCCTTACATTTGATATTTCAACAGGAGAACTTATGATACCTATTCAATTCATGGTGCATTCTTTGAAACTCTCCAAAATTATTGCTTCAAGAGTTACACTGATGCATCTCCTTGATAGAAGAACTACAACGCCTACATGATGGACTTCTTTGAACCTCCTCTCTCTCTTACACTATAAGAATGAAAAACTGATGCACAGATATTTTGTTTCAGATTCTTGCTCGAATAATTACAACGCTGTGAAACCCTCTCCTCTTTATCGATGATACAGATACATAAATAGTTACCGAAAGACATACTCTGGCCACACTACTTACAACATGTTGATTGCACTCCAAACCTCTCTCTCTCTCTCTCTCTCACAAAAACTATGCAAACATCAATGATGAAGAAGCCTCTGCGTCAGGATGATAGTGAAGCATCTCCTTCCACATCATCTCTCTAATCATCTCCTCCTCCAAATCTTCATCTATGTCCAAATCGATTGGAACTTGAGCCAAAGGTTCCTTGCTCGGATCATAAAGTGGAGCCATATATGGATGCATCAATGCCTCCGTTACACTGATCCTCTTTGCTGGGTCAAAAACCAGCATTTTTTGAAGCAAGTCTATGGCCAAAGGGCTTGCATCTGGGTACAAACGAGCCAAAGGTGTACGAGGACAATAAGGAAGAGACTTTATATACCTTCGAGCCTTTGGATTGTCTATGAACTCTAAATCAGCCTCTTCTAAACTGCCCAAAACATTTACTATGAGCTTGAGTTGGTTAAGGCACTCAGTGCCTGGAAAAATAGGCTTTCGACCCAATAACTCCGCAAAAATGCAGCCTACAGACCATACATCAATTGAGGTGTTGTATTTCTCACAACATAGGAGGAGCTCAGGGGCTCGGTACCACCTTGTAACTACATATTCGGTCATGAATTGGCCTTTACCACTGCTGGTTCGAGCCAAGCCGAAGTCACAAATTTTTAGGTCGCAATTTGCATTTACTAGGAGGTTTCCGGGCTTGAGATCTCGGTGGAGGATGTTTGCAGAGTGAAGGTATTTGAGGCCTCTCAGCAGCTGCGTCACATGAAGATTGATGAAGACTTTTAGGATGTGCAAAGAAAAATATTTATGATGCTAAAAAGCAAAAACTGCATAAAAAATGGCAATGAAGAGACATGTGATTTTGCATTTAAAGTGGTATCTTAGCAAAAAAAGGAATCACAATAAATAGTAGAACTAGTAAAGCAAAAAGCAATTGGAATTGTGTGTTATATATTGTCAGAAAATGATCTAAGAACTGCCCCACAAAATGGTCATGTTGGTAAGGACGCTCGATTTGTCATAAATACAGCAAAGTGGAGGCATTTAATCACTAGCATCATAGCAACTTTGATGGATGGCACCAGTTATATATTCTTAACTAGATTCAGGCATAACAAGACTAGATACTCAATCACTTAGGCTACTTGATTTCTTTTCTTCTTTTTTTTTTCTTTTTGGAGAAGAAGGTTAACTCTATCTGGATAATTAATAAACAAGTCTACAAAGCAGTATGGGTATTTCCTGAAAATAGGGGGCCACCTCAACACTAACATCAGATATACTAAATGGAGAATATTTATATAAGGTGCCAACGTTATACTACTGAAGTAAGGTGCAACACAAAACTCCTCTAGAAGAGAATGTTCCGACATTGGAAAACCCTCCAATTGATTACCTTGGCCTTCGGATGCATAGATATGAAGATAAGATGAATTTCAAGTTCCAGTATAGTGCACCTTATAACAACTCTGAATATCACAACTCTGTATCACACATGATTTTCACTTACTCCAACATTGAGCTATAATTACTTCCTACAATTCTAATTTTAAGTGAACAACTATAACTTTAGCTTGAAACATGATGTGAAGAAAAGAACAAGTATTGGGAATATGTTATTAGAGAGTGTTTATAAATTATGGAAATGGATTATTTGGGTGATGATGAGGTCAGATGTCCCAAGTGTTAGGGAATACCTAAGAACAGGCAATTGACTAAACAGATATGATTGCCCCCGATACATATCTGCAATTTATGAAACATATGTAGTGAATGTTTTCTCCTTGATGTCACACACCAGGAGATTTACATGAGATTTCTTACTAACTTGAAACACAAAGAAGACATCACCCCAAACAAGATCTTGTATGGACACGTGATATCCTAGGGCCTGGTTAGACAAATATAGGTGCTGCAACTGGATTCATTCAAGAGATTGTACATAAAGGTAAATGTCCATCGATCACACTGACAATGGACGGCAGAGATGAGATGATTATCTGCTGGAGTGGAAATAGACTTCAGTGGGAGATTGGCTAATTTCAAATGTCTATTGTTAAGTTTAGACCATGAAGATGACACACTATATTATTTGTATGCTACATTAATCATGTTATATTTTGTTCAAAGCACTGGCAGTCAATCAATGCTTATATTATCTTAGTCTCTCAGCTATCTACCTGAGTCTCTTAAGTTTCCAATAGATATTAACATCTTAGCCCATGCTAGACACAATAAACCTCGGCCTGATTTTGTGTTATAACAACAATTGCCCTTAATAACAGGATTGGAATTTGATTTTTTTTTTTTTGCACTACTACTATAAAATATAATAAATCATCTGGATTTGTTTTACCACCACAGTGTGCATCATATTCTGACATAAAAAGGTTTAAAGGGAAAAACTACGTACCTGGAAAAGGAAATACTGGCAGTGATCATTGGTGAGCACCTGATTTGACTTGATAATCTGATGCAAATCTGTGTCCATGAGTTCATACACCAAATAAACATCCTTGAAAGTCCTTCGATGGACCGGCAACATAATATCCTTCAAAGCAATGACATTCTCATGACGAAGGTGATGAAGAAGTTTCAGTTCCCGCAGAGTTCGAAGTGCATCAACGCGATTCTCAAAAGCATTATGTATCTTCTTAATGGCAACCTTTTCATTGGTATCTCTATTTACAGAAGAGCAGACAATGCCATATGCTCCTCTACCAATCGGCTTGATTGGGACATACTTCGTATCAATCTCGAACATGGTTTGCCACATTTTGTAATAATGCTTACCTTGGATTCCACACCCATTTGGTGGTTCCACTGGTGTTGCCATTTTCCTGCAATTTAAATTAACCAAGCATTATACGCTGTAAGAAACCAAAACATTGCCATATCATGTCCACAGTAGTTTTCTAAATAAGTTCTTTGTTATTTTCCCAATATTCAACCTTGAGTATCAGATTTGTCGTTTATACAATGACCTCTACAAATATAGATTTCATGAGAAACCTCAGGATTGTTGTCATTACTAAAAACTCTTTTAATCACAGAACCCCTATGAGCCGCATATCTAACACCTTGCCTTAAAAGTTTCTGACTTTTTTGATTCACTGATCCATATGAATATCACAGTGTATTGCTTGAAATTCTCTTCATGTTTGCCTCTTTTTAGGAGCCTCCATTTGGGAACTATGATTTAGAATACCAGTGTTTAAAATACCGACAAATTACCTTCTCTATTAAAATTCAATGCTCATATAGTATTAGCGATCAAATTGCTGGGATTTAAAACGGTAGTTTCTAGAAACAAGAAAAGCCCTGGAAGAAATTGGTCTTGAGAACACCAATACCTGAGTGGACCCTTCTACAAGAAAAAAGAGGAGCAAAATATATTGGTATTTCACGAATAACAATTTTTATTAAGAAAAGGTTTTTCCAAACAAGGGTTGCCACTTCAGAAAATATCATTATCACACACTCTGACATATGCATCTGGATATGTTAATCAAAATAGTGAGATATCTAATAGGCAAGGTGTTAAAATACATATCTCATAGGGGTGACCAAAAAAACACAAACTAAAGACAAGGTAAGTATGTTCTATATAATATCAAACTTGACGGTTCAAATTGATAATTTGTTGAATGGGCTAAAATTAGGTGCTGCAAAGGACATGATAACATCACAAAAGTGTTCCAGAAAGTGTTTGAACTTTAAACTATATATCTATAGTTTAAAGCCCAAATTGGTTTACGATAGGCAGTTTTACAAAATAAATATTGCTCTCAGTAAAAAGTCGACATTTATAAGTAGATAAGTCATTAAGTTAGAGTACACTTCAAACTTTCACAGAATTACAATGCCATTTAAAGTAAATGAAACGGAATATTACTATTAATCAGTGTTATTAAGACGGGATCAGAGGCCAAAGTAGTGGGCACATCAATTCAGTCAGACAGGTTGAACCAAACCGGTTCACCAATCAGACCAAGAAAAATAAAAAAAGGAAAATTACAAAAAAATTGAAAATAGAGAAAAATAAGAAAGAACCTGAAAACAATCTAGAAAAATCAAAACCAAATTTTAGATAACAATTAGGAACCAATGTTATAAGCATGTTCCAAAAATGCAAACAAAATAATTATGAAAAAAAATACAAATTAGGGTCACAACGAGTCTGAACGGGCTAGTTCACATTGATTTAACAGGTTTGACCAGACTGAGCTGGCCGGTTCATACTGGTTTTGACCAGTTCGTTGCCCATTCTATATTCTTGTTCTAGGTCCAAACTAGACAGTCCAATCTGGTCTTAATAGAATTAGTACAAAAAACCTCATTTTTTGGTGAAATTTCAATTGTTCTTATAAAGATGACAAATATACGATTGTCTTTTAGTGATAGTCACACATGCACCCTTGATGTCCAAGCTACCCATAAAAAGTAAATTTATGGTAGTAAATCCACCATTCACAATCCATTCTAACCATAACATATATTTTGGAAGGTTGTTAAGGTAACCATAATAGTATTTTGAAAGGTCATTAAAGCTAGATCATCGTTTATATAAAAGTGTATATGTAATTATCAATAAAAAACAAGGGGTAATTTTGTCATCTTAATAGGACAAAGTTGAAATTTATAATAAAGGACAAGGGTATTGTGCTAGTACAGTTCTAGGACACTCAATTCCAAAATACTATTGTACTTTTGTAAAAATTTTAAACATACCCTTATTGATTAAGTTGCCTATAAAAAAAAAATTTTAAACATTAAACAACAAGAATTTATTTTTTGATAAATACACCTATAACAAGCCATTCTAACACTAACCTTTATATTTTGAGGGGTTCACTATAAGCACACCTGTATGTGTGTGTACGTTGCTATTGGATAGTTCTACAGTAACCTTTATATTTTGAAGGGTTGACCATAAACAAACCCATATATGTGTGTGTATGTTGCTAATGGGTAGTTCTGCAGTAAGGATTGAACTTAGGACATAGTATTGCAGTAGTCAATAACTAACCAATCAAGTTGAAGCCCTATCCTAAAAACTCTTTGCTAAGTGTTTTTTTAATTATTATTTATCAATTCATTATTAACATTGCTTTGCATTTGGAGAGCCTTATAAAGCCTTCCAATACAAGTTTCTAGCCCAAAGTGATAGCTTTGGCAGCAATTACTAAGTAGACAAGTCAGTGCAATTTGTTATATCCAGAAGAGATGATTTTGAAAAGTCAAAGTTGATTTGGAACTTGGCCCGAAGCAACAATGAGGCAATCTGGTCTCCTACATATAAAAAAAAATGAAAATATAGAAAGAACCACACTATAATGGCATTATTCTAATTTCTAAAAATTCATGCATTCTTCTTACAACCTAAGTAATTATTATATGTATTTTCATAATTATTGCAGAGACATCTTATATTACTGCATAATTAATGCATATTAAAAATGAAAATAATGGTTTATTAGTAATTATTGGCTACTATTGAATATTTAAACGTTTATCAGTAATAGTTAGTTAGTTATTATGGAAAGGATTTTGTCAGCCATGGTTGAGTTTCCACAGTGTTTGCCAAGGGTAATGTTAGAGGTACTTGCTCCCCCAACAATGAAAGCAAGCCATCCATTTGAAGGACGGTCAAATCTAGGCCATTACAAACTCAAAATCAATAATAATTTCCCCGAATTGCTCACCAGGTATGTCAAAGATGTTTCGCAAAAATAGGTCAAAGAGTTCCCTTAATTATTTGTTTTGGGTAGAGGGTGAATTGTGGATACGCCATATTTGGCTTATCAAATCCCTTCCCTTGTTAGTAGTATGATAATTTGATAGAATGATAATTTGTTAAGAATTTGTGAAACTAGAAAGAAAAGTATGTCACATCCTAGAAAATGCCAATAATAAGCACAATGACCTACATATCATGAATGTATGATGCTATATTGTTCTATATATAAGCTAAAAAGGGCATAACTGGTGAACAAGGTCCATATGAACCTTAACATGCAAACACGTGCGCAGACCAAGTGAGCTTACGTGGCCAGACCATTTTCAAGTTAGGTCTGCTTTTGAAAAGAATAAAATTGGAAACATTTCCAAGAAATAGGGAAAAACACCATGCAAGTGAAAGATTTACTCACTTGACTTTTCCCACTCAGCAAATGACAGATTTTACAAGGTATTAAAGTCAATAGCTTGTCAACTTGATTTGACACAAATGCATCCTCTATTTGAAGTACTTATATTGTTCTGAAGAGTCACACTCTGTACACTTCTGAAGTAAAGCCACCTTCATCAAACAGGACCACAGAATTGCCTAAAATTTCATATACTGCTTTCTTTGGCCAAAGCCAAGATGGGAACATAGATTCAGTGGCAATAACCACATTCCTTATTCTAGATAAAATTATTAGATTTCTCAAATGACCTACATTCATTTCCTTCAACAACTAGTTGCCCTATTTTCCAAGGCCACAAGTTTCTTTTATGGGCCCACTAAAACACAAGAGGATGGTACAAAGATCCAGCAGTGGGGCAAAGTGTAAAACCCACAGTTTAATAAACACTTCAGATTACAGGCTCGACAGCACCCACACAAGGACTGCAGCATCGTACTTTTGGGGTAAAGATCTAGTTCTCTATGGTGATAAAAAGTTGTAAAACCCAACAACTAGTCATGTGCCTTACATCTGGTTGAAAGCTATTGGATTGATTGCAGTCTTTTCCTAGGAGGGATAAGGCTTCTGGTTGGATCAAAGAGTTCTCACAAAATCCTGCTGATACCACCAGGAGAGCCCATTGGTCAAGCCAAGCAGGTAAACGACTTCCAAAACAAGAACATAACCATCGTGCCATTTATTTCCTAATGGAGTGATTGTAAAGAAATTGTAAAAACTATCAAAAGCATCTCAAAACATATTAGTAACATATCGGAGATTCCTATATTTTTTGTATTTTTTAACCTTTTCTTTGATTTTCTTTCTTTGCAAGTTTTTGGGGCCTTGCGAGGTGTGCACCCAGCTCGCCCCCAACTCGCCTCGCCTCACCACTATGGCGAGGCCGAGTTACTCTCCCAATCCCAAACGGACTCAAGTGAGTCGTAGACGCTGGTTAAGACTAGTGGCATTTGTCCATTATTCTTTCCAATTTAACAAGTACAATAAATAACAAAATGTTGAAAAATGAGTCCTCATATAAATTTTCCCCATTGATGTAAAAAAACACTATCTCTCAAAATATTCTTTTGAAAGGTGATATAAGCAGAATATGGAACTTTTGTTTCCCTTCTTAAACCTCCATAAAATATCTGAAAGCTCCTTCCCCGCTAATATCCCTGCTCCTATAGCAGTATTTCTCAAGCTCAAAAATTTGAAACCTTCCTCATAAGCATTCATAAAAAATTATTCTATTCCCTCTATAGTTCTGCTCTATACCCATATATCATATCAAGCTCAAAAAGTTGAAACCTTCCTCATAAGCATTCATAAAAAATTATTCTATTCCCTCTATAGTTCTGCTCTATACCCATATATCATATCTGATGTTATGATCCTAAAAACAATTCAATGTTATTCACTTCAAATTTTCCCTCAAAAGAAAAGAAGCAAGTAAGGAGATACATTTTTGTTTTTTCTCTCTAAAATTCTACTGCAAATTCCCCACCAAACTTGAGGATCAAAAGGAATAAAAAATCAAAAGAAACTAGGGTTGTATACAATGAGACCATTGACCTTTGGTACAAAGAAGTCACAATTACCTATAACCATCTAATGTGAAATATAATAGCTTGAGTATGTCACAAAGTTCAAGAAAATTTCTTTTGAATTTTGAGGTTGGTCAATGGAATAAATGCAGCCACCCAATTTCACATCCAATGATCAAGATTAATTGTGACCACCTTATACCAAAGGTAAATGATCTCATTGTATACTTTTCCAAAGAAACCTAAGTTTTACTTGACTGTTAAGGATTCTGCTCCTGCTAGATGTTGTTATCCTCACTATGATTGGTAATTCATTCCAAAAATGTCATTAAACTTAGGTTGACGCAAAATTGCTTATCAATTTCCTAATATTCCAATCTACAAGTTTCAAAAACACAGCTACAGCATTGTAACAGTTTTGTAAAACTTGCCCAAGTCTATCTCAGACACAGCTGAGTTAAATGGGATCTAGGGAACTGGCTTGAGTCTCACTGGTTCCGAGTCTGATCCACATACTTGTGCTTGGGCAATGCTTGGTTGTATGCCCGAGTCCAAGTTTTCTAAAACTGGCAGCAATAAGACAAACTCCCCCATATTTCCATAAAGGACCCGGTTTCTATACGGCCAAGCCCGTATATGTAGAAATGAAGGCCTATTAATAAATCCATTTTTGAGATGGATTTTTTTAATTAATTTTAGAGAACATGTAATCTCTAACATGGAGATCATGAATATGAAAAAGTAAGTTTTTAGAAATAATAATTCTAGTAAGAAAACATTTGGACCATTAGTTTCCATTTGTTTTAGATGGAACACCTACTTGCATCCATCTTGAAGATGGATGCTTTACACTTTTTGAACTGCATATGTAGTCAAGCGGTCCAGCCAACATGAAACAATTTTCCTTCCATAAATCCAAAACCAGATCACAAGGGCAGTATACCTCGTTTCATTATATATCTCTATGGACATTCCAACTGACCTGTTCTATTTATCAAAAGGTTCAAATAAAGAACGAGAAAGGAACAAGTGCAACAAGGCTAGAGTACCTTCACCCTATTCACCAAAAGAAAGGGATCCAGGTGCTCCACAAGCTGAGGATTTGTTTCAATGCATCACACAAGGACTTTCCAGCCTGTTAAATTCCACCTTGCCTTTTATGTTACTAGAATTTCTCAAAATTTTCCCCTGCTTTTCTTATATTTTGCTGGTTTTCCCACACTCCATATCTTCCTGATAAAATTTGCTCAGATTCCTTCAGTTTTCCATTCTTTTAAACTGCTAATACCATTTCCCCACCATTTTCTACAGCATCAGCATAATTTCTCACATTTATTTCTTGAACCATTTAACCCCTTATTAGTTGCTTTGCACTATGCAAGTTCCACTATTCTTCTCCCAGTTCAAGCTAAAAACAGTCTTTGATTCTCAGGAAAAACTACTGATCTATATACTCTTATCGAAATTTTACCGTAGCTCTCTCCAAAAAGTGTAATCTTCCTTTTTTAACTTAAATCTCTTCTCAAAGGTTCCTTGTCTTTCAAATCCTCTATGTACTTTCAGTAGTTTTCTCCAGATTTCCATTATCGCTGCTCATTCTCCTCCTTTCCGCCAAAATTCTAGAATATTTTTTCTCAATTAATTCATCAAACCGTTAGGATCATCTACCTTTCTTGTCTTGTGATAGATATTCTCAGAGATCATTCTCATGAATTACGCATCACTATAACGGTCGATCCAATTCTTTATATGATAGTCTAAGATCCTCACAAATTCTCCCATTTCCCCTTCCTATTTTTGCCAACTCTTCCTATAATTATCTGAATTTCTCTCAAATTCAACAGGTGATCCAGGATTACAGTCTCAAATACCTTGTAATTTCTGAATCTCGCAAGAATTCCTGTTCTCTTTCGTCATCCTACCAAAATTACTTCAACAACCGTCTCAAATTCCCAAGAATTCTTGTTCTCTTTCATCATCCTACCAAAATTACTTCAACAACCGTCTCAAATTCCGTTAAAAATCCAAATTTCTCTCAGATTTGTTCCAATTTATTCTCTTCTCAAAATCCTTATGCTACATCCTCAAATCCATTGCAATTTTTTTTTTTTTGAAACTAAATTTCATGCAATTTCTCAACACTTTCAACTGTTCAGTCAAGGTCATTCAGAGAGTAAACACCAGAAAATAAAAATAAAAAGAGAAATGGAGCCCTTACAGTTCCATGAGAGCCAGCCTTTATGCCTGCGAATTCCCCCTGAAATAAACTTTCCCCAAACTTTCTACACCAAACGGGATGGTAAGCTCCTCTGCGTCTTCTACTCAGAATTTGTGGAAAGTTTTGACTGCACCGCCCAACGTTTTCTTGTGAATTACCATAGCGTAGCATACATATATAAGATAATTTTGATCTTTCGATGAGGATGATTTTGCCCCTACCGCGTAGATATTTTAGATACAAATCTTGGATATATTCGTCGTTAGAGATACGATTATATCGGTGGTCAATTATTATTGGAAAAGGTGAGTTTAAATAGAGCCGAGGCTCTAAACAATCAAATTAGAGCGCACTTCAAATATTTCACTAGACGGAGTTGTTTTGATGCCCAAATATCTTCGAATTAATGATCTCGACATCTAGATTCATAGACATGGGAAAAAACATGGATTTCAAGTTTCAAAAATAGTGCATCTTATAATGTATTTTTGGGGCTCGTAATTTTCAATATTTTAAATTTTCATAGATCTACTCAATCTATACTAGTTTTTGAAGCTTTAAATTTTATCATTAGATATGAAAATATACTTTAAGAATATGACAAAGATTTTCAGTATTGAAACTAAATTTTTCGATATTATTTGAAAGTGTGCTCTGCTTTGATTGTTTAGAGCCTTGCTCTATACAAAATGTGGAAATCTTGATGGTGCGCTTCCACGTGTTCCACATTTTAATGATAGGGAAATTGAGGTAGTTATAGTAATATAATGTAACATCATTTAAAAACCATGTTAGAACTTAATTCAAATTTTAAAATATAATTTTTTTTTCATTCTAATAAATAATCTCAAAAAAGAAAAATTTGAAAACTCAATTTAAAAAAGTATTTTTTAGCCCAATTAATATAGACCGTCCATTTTAGTGAGATGCATAGATCTAGGTCTTAGAATGATTTTCTTTCTTTTCAAATTTTTTAGATACTTGTATTATCATTAGATTAATAATATTAAAAAATAAAAAAATGATTTTGAATTCATAAAGCCTAGATCTTGAAATTCATCAAATTGACGGTCTAGATTCATTGTTGAAGGGGACTTATTTTGACCATAGGATCCAAATTAGTTTCGCTTTTTTTAGATTGATTATTGAGATGAAGAGAGTGTGTATGCAAAAGTTTGGATCGTACAAATACCACAAACTTGGTTTTCCAGAAGTGTGGTTGCATTACACTATGATATACTATTGCATGAAATCGCTGCCCAAAAACTTATAATATGAAAATTTGTTAAAATAAGTTTAATCTAATTTATCAATTATTTAGTAATTTACCCAATTTGAACCATTAATGATAACTCATGGTATTGTATATTTTGGTAAAAGTTTTGAAACCAAATCAACAAAATAATTAAATTGTCAAGTACTTTGATAAATGTCACAATATGATATGAATAAGTATAAAAGAAGCTATTTATAATTTTTGTCCATTAAATTTTAAATCTGGTGGCTGTAAGAGTGTTATTGACTAAAATTAAAAGTTCAAACAAAAAATTCTTGAACTTTACGACACACCCCAAGTCATCCAATTTAACATTTAATGGCTATGAGTATTTATAATTTCATTGTAATAAAGATAAATTGTCACATAGTATGCAATCCTATGCAACATCCATATTCCCTTTCAAGAGTAAATTGAAATTAGATGGTTTTTTAATATCAAAATAGCCTTTCTCAAGAATTTTAAAATACACCTTAATTCTATAATTTAATTTAGGAAAAACTTTATCTAAGGTTGCAACTTAAAAAATGTAGAATTAAAGATGCACCTCAAAAATCAATCGAAAAAGGTTGTTTAATTGTTGAAAACCCTTTAATTGATCATCTCGACATCGAGATATATAAATATGAAAAAAAGAAAAAAATGATTTTGAGTACCAAAAAAAAGTGCATTTTGCAACATATTATCTTAACCATTCTTTTTCAAGATTTTCAAATATTTATAGATCTACTTGATTTTAACTATTTTTGGAGTTTAAAATTTTATAATTAAATATAAAAATAGAATTTCAAATAATCCTAATAATTTGCGACACCAAAATTATATGTTATAATAAAATTTGGAGGTGTGTCTTAATTGGATTATCTAAAGTTGCAACCTTATAGAAACCACACCCTTTAATTTAAGGTGTCAAGCATATGTAGAAATGTAGGCCTATTAATAAATCTATTTTTGAGATAGATTTTTTGACTTAATTTTTAAAAACATGTAATCTCTAATATAAAAATCATAAATATGACTAAATTTTAAAATTCTAAAATAATAATTTTAGTAAAAAAATATTTAGACCATTAATTTCTATTATTTTTAATCGAACACCTACTTTCATCTATCTTTAAAATTGATGCTTTACACTTTTTGGACCACTCATGTAATCATGCGGTCCAACAGAAATAATTTTCCAAATATGTATCACGCTATATTTCATGCACCAAATCTTTTGTACGGAGAATAATGCACCATCATCTTCCACGTGGCAGGTGACTGTTGGTTCACATAGATAGCTGTTTCCTAAGAAAAGGACAAGTATGCCCCAAACAAGTATGCCCACATCATTAGAGCAGTGCAAGACGTGCAGTTTAACACTTCCTATATTACCCTCAAATCGCCATAGATATTACTCCAACTACCCTTCATAGTAAAAAAACCTCCATCGTGTGGCTTTACTTTCCGTTATAAAGAACCCTCCATCATGAGGACTCTTCGTCGGTTTTTTTTCCTCCTTTTTTTGAAGTAACTCTTTGTGGTATTATTAGGTACGCGGTTAACATGCGGGCCAAGCCTGCACGTATAGAAATACGGGCTTCTTAATAAATTTATTTTTGAGATAGACTTTTGGATTTAATTTTTAAAAATATGTAATCTCTAACATGGAGATTTGAAATATGAAAAGAAATTTTTTTAAATTAGAAATAATAATTCTATTAAGATAACTTTTGGATCATTTGTTTCGATGGTATTTAGATGGACCACATTTGTATCCATCTTTAAGATGCTATATATTTCTGGACTGCATATGTAGAAATAAGGTCCAACCATATGAAACAATTTTCCTATGTCTATGCTTAGAGATAATATAAGGAAGTGACTTTAAATAGGTGTTAAGGGTGGGCATTGTGTGAAGAAACAAGATAACTTAGAGAGAAATTAACATCTTTTCACCAAAACCAAAAAAAAAAAACAATTGCTACCATTTTGTAAAAACACATGACAGAGAGGGGAAGAGAAAAAAATTATGTCAAGTGTGAGATAGGGGAGAGAGAAATATACATGAGAGGTCGAATGGTTTCCTAAAAAATCTCTCTTTAGATAGGTATTATGACGTTTGTTTTTAAAATGTGCATCTAAAAAATCTCTCGTTAGATACGCATAGAGGTTTGTTTTTAAAATGGGTAAATTTCTCCATACCCCCCTATTTTTTGCATCCATTTCTCAAGGGACTCAAGATTTTATAATATTTATGGCTGCATTAAGTCTTTATCTTTTCTATGAAGATTTTACAATATTTTTGGCTGCATTAAGTCTTTATATTTTCTATCTTCCAATCCCCTATACTCTTTTGGCCTTATATTTTTTACCTAAATAATTTATTAATGACCACTTTTTTATCAAAACCTAAAGTCTCTTTAAGCCCTCCCCCCCTCTCTCTCTCTGTCCACCAATCACATGGCTCTCTCTCTAAATCTCTCTCCCTCCTCTTTCTCTCTCTCGAATGAATATCTCCCTTCCAACACTAAGCACTTCTTTCTCTCTCTACCCCAATAGCTAGCACCTCTTGTATGCACCACACCCACACCACTAACCTACACAACCAATTTACCTATGCCCTACATACACCAACCCCAGCTGTCATGACCCTACCCCCCACCCTCGTACCTTATACGGCGACGGGCAACCGAGTGTGAGTTCGTGATCCAATGCAACGTTTCTCACTCAAGTAGGAGTGGACTTAACGCTTTTATTTTCGGTAATCGACCAAACCATGGAAAAAAGGACTAAAACGATAGCTCAACTAGCAAGTGAACATTAACAATCCCAAACACCAAAAATCCATTATATATAAATTTCTTCCAAAATGTTACATTCAATTCAGGGCGTGTAGGCCCAATATTACATATATATCAACAAAGAACAAAAACTCAGGGTCAAACAGACCAGGCATAAACAAGATCGAAGCACCCTCTTCGCAAAATCTAACTTCAACTTCCTGCTGCAAAACACTAGCTCCAAGCCCTAAAGCTGTCGCTATCAATCTACAAGGAGAGAAGAAATAATAGAATGAGCTATACATCCCAGGAAGTAGATCTAGTGTTATGCATCGATAGTGATTCTATCCGTGTGTGACAACAGTTCAATCCATCAATATAAAACCATAGTTTAGCACATGTGAATATTAGATCAAGACAACGAGTATGAACATTTCATTTACATGGCAGTTATCACTAAATTAGTGCGATCATGAGCATTCAATCAGTGCAATCCTAAACATTCCTTATTCAACCACTCTATCATTACCAACTCACTCCCTAAATCACCTACTCCCGCAGTAGAGGATCTATCCATCAGGCTAATTCAATCCCATTGCTTAAGGTCTCTACCCTCATACAGGAGTGAGGGTAATGACAAGTGGGGTAATCCACTTCATAATACCCTCAACACACTCACATAGTCCCCAAAGCGAATTGGAAAATCGATAAGCCCTTACCTTGCAAGGCATCAATCATTTCATTGCATTTCATGAATCTAGGGTGCGATCCTCCATCCTCTCCCTTAACCCGTTCCTATCATTATGCAGGTTAGGGGATATGCCGGCATTGCTTTTCGTACTACCGATGAGTGTCCCATTGCGTAGCAGGTGATATCGTAACTGTATCTACTATCGATGAATGTCTCACCACGTAGTAGTCAATATCATAACAGTATCCACTACCGATGAGTGTCCCACTGTAGAGTGGTCCATATTATAACAGTATCCACTAACGGTGAGTGTCCCACTGCGTAGTGGTCAATATCAATATAAACAGTGGCCATTCATCACAATATCATAATAGTATCCACTACCAGTGAGTGTCCCACAGCATAGTGGTCCATATCGATATAAACAATGGCCATTCATCATGCTCAAGCATTCAATTCGTTCACATCAGTCAATGTCTCTTACAGATGAATCATATTTCATCATATA